AACGGTGCTGCATGGAAACAATAGAAGTCAGATTGATCCATGTCGTTTCCCGACGCCGTTGTCGTTCATCTCACAACGAGCTTTCTCATCTTGGCCAGACCTTCTCGTTTTCATGCCCTCGCTCTTGGATGTTGACATGGTGTTACATCAATCCACCCCGCACTGATCCGAGTTCGTAGATCATACTCGAGAATGCAACAGCAACGGCTCCGATTACGACGTTTTGCCAAAATTTCGGATGTTCGGCAATCGAATAGCACCCCAAACTTATCCTACAAGCCCCAACAACACCCACACCATCAAGTTCTGGTGGAGTGAGGGTTGCAGTGTCAAACAAGAATCTACCGGCCCGTCGGAGTAATTAGAAATCGAAGTTGCGCCAAACGCGATACCTCCACGTCGTTTGTGTGTATGACTGTCGCGGGCCAGGCGAATGAGCACGGCGCGCGCGAGCGCGCGAGAGCCTTGAGTTTTGAAACCTGAGCAACCTTTCCGCCAGCCTGCTCCTGGCTCGGACCAGAAGCATCGGCCCCCGCGCGATCTCATGCGCCCAGCCTAAAACTCGTAGAGTGCCCGCGTCCATCATGCTTCCCTGCTCGGGGTCTCCCTCGTCTGCCATTCCAGCCCTGCGGTCTTCCCGGTAGAGAAATCACTCTAACACGGATAGGCTGATCCCAAAGCTTCGATCGACTCTGGTGCCTGAGCTTTATTCCCAGGGCCCCGCGGTGAGGACGGAGGAGGGCCAAGTGTGTCGTTCTGAGTTGCGAGGAAGAGCAAGACTTGGGCACCTAGTCGGACCGTGCCGACTCTTCCTTTCCCGCTCGCCTTGTTGCTTGGGAGATCCTTGGCCTGCTTCTGTCCTGTTCACTCGGCGCAATGGACAGTCCGGTTGGGTTAAGTTGAGCGGATGTCCCTGGAACTCTTTTAATGTTGAAGTGACTGCCGCCACTTGTGTTGTATTTCCAGGTCAACGTTGCTCAGAAGGAAGAAGCAGACAGTTCTACAATCCATTCCTTTGGTTTTGGTTGTTGATTTTCTCCATGCTTGTATATATGGGTTCCGATATTCTGCTCGGCGAATTGTCATCTCGGTCTCGGTGTAAGACGTCATGCCTGCGGCAGCGCTCGCTCTGGTCGCCATACTAGCTGCAGCTGTTTCGTGCGTACCGTCGACCCAGGACCTCAGGACCGACATAACCATCATTCGAGACAATGACCTCCTGGGTGAGTCTCAACCAGTGTCACATATCCAGAAGCCTCTGACTGACGATGGCAACCTTCTAGACTCGAAAAGCCCAGCGGCCAATACAAGCGCTCTCTTCCTCAGGGCCCGGGTGCCTTTACGAGAGGCCAAGTCCATGTGCAAAGATCTAGGCGAACAGCTGTGGAAAGCAGATTCAAACTCCACGCAGAGGATATTAGACATTCTCGACTATCAAGAGCCCGATGTTGACTTGTCAGCAATCTGGATCATGCCCGAGAACGGCGATGATCCCCAAACGATCAACCTCAAAGGCGAGGTCTCCTCTGCCGACACATCCGACACGAATACCGTTCTGTGCACGCAGACGGCGCCCTACTCCAACGGCATAGCCCAGGACAGCAGTCCGAGGTGGCAGACTGTGGTGTACTCCAACAGAGAAGCAGTACTTGGCTTTCGCGATAGGAATAGCTTCCGCTTTCATGGCATGCGTTACGCTACGAGGACGAAGCGGTTTGCATACCCTAAAATGTATCGAGGCTCTGGCGGTAATGCTACCGCACTCGAATTCGGATCCCCTTGCTATCAGGGGTTCGGCGGCACAGAAGATTGCCTGTACCTGAACGTTTACACGCCGTATCTTCCCCGTAACAGACGCATCGACAGCGGTCTCCGGCCGGTCATGTTTTGGATTCACGGTGGAGCTCTGACGAGTGGCTTTGGTAGTGATCCCCTGTTTGACGGGGGTAATCTGGCATCTCGTGGCGACGTAGTCGTCGTGACCATAAACTACCGGCTTGGGTCTCTGGGCTTTTTGGCCATTGACGATGGCGAGACAAATGGCAACTTTGGTCTCGCTGACCAGATTCTGGCGTTGGACTGGGTCCGACAACACATCCGAGACTTTGGTGGGGACCCAAGCAAGATCACCATATTTGGCCAATCCGCCGGAGCTGCCTCCGTCCGCGCGATGATGGCGTCTCCAAAGGCTGCCGGGAAGTTTGCGGGCGCGATCCCGCTCAGCAACCTTGGAGGCTTGGCGTACGGGACGTCATACTCCAAGTACTTCTCCATCGAGGAACAGCTAGACCTCGTGGGTAACGCCATCCTCGGCACCACGAACTGCACCAACGCAACGTCGCAGCTCGACTGTCTCAGAGACGCGCCGCTTGGAAGTCTCGGACCAGGAGCGCGGTACCTCGTCAACGATGGTGTCTACCTGACGACAGATGAGTTGTCTCTTAGAGGCGACTCTCTCAATGTCAACGTCATGATGGGCATCACATCTGAGGACGGCTTGCCGTTTCTGATTCTCCCGCGGAATGGGACAGTCCTCAACGATACCCAGTGGCTCACATCTCAGGGCCTCCCAGCTCCGCCACAGCGTCTTTTCCCTCCGACAGATGTCAAGAACCAGACGCGGGCGGCGTTCGGGGTGGGTGCCAGGCTCGCCACCGACGCGATGTTCCGCTGCGTAGATCAAGCTACGGCGTACGCGGGCTTGGAGAACGGCGTCCTTGGGTCCAAGGTGTACTACTATGAGTTTGAGCGGACGTACCAGACGCCCGAATGGCCGCGACTCGACATCTGCGAGGCACCGAAGTCAAAGGCTCACCCCAATGGAAATCCTGAGTCGCCCATCAACAACCTACGATGCCACTCGGGCGAGTTACTTCCGCTGTTTGGCAATCTTGTGCGTCAGGGAAACCCGCTCCGAGACGAGAACGACTTGCCCTGGATGCAATATCTCGTCGACACATTCACCTCATTCGCAAGGACTTATGATCCTAATCCGGATAAGGCCTTCCTCAAGGCCAGAGGGTTCGACAGCACGTTGAGGGCATTGGAAAAGGCCGGGCCCTGGGAGCCGTCTGTGAAAGGCGACATGAAGATGAGGGCCATCGATTGGCCCGTGAAAGACAACATGATGAGAGGATTCAAGGATGTCGAGCAGTGCGAGTGGCTCAAGTTGCCGCTTGACTTTTACGTTTGAGTAAATAACTTACAATGGACGAAGGGGAAAGATGCACATACCAGCATTCAGGACTTACATAATTAGATACTTAGTACATGGCACCGAGTAGAAGGGTTTTATACAACCCCTAATAGATGCATTCTTTGTTAAACATGAAACGGAAAATATCACCTCACTTTCCAATACCCCCATTCGATAGCCAACGTCTGGCGAGGAAGCAACTCACTACCATGGGTGATACTACGGTCGGAAATGGAACCAACTGCATGTGCAATCAAGATAGCTGTGGCGAAGCTATCTGCGGCAAGGTCTTATTGGGCCACGACTGTATGGTCGCATGTAGGGTCCGGGAGGGGTAAATCTGCCTGACAGCCTCGTCTCGCTGACTTATTCTTGCTCGACAGTAGAATGTCGAATTGCTTCATCCTTCTCTCTCAAGTCTCTTGTGAACGTTCGCGTCTCCTCGTGTCGCCTGTTAGTTGCGGTCCCACGCGCCTGGTACATCGCCCTCATCATCGATGGAGGCAGCTATCGGAGCGATTGGGCTCTCATTGCAGCTCATCGACTCTGCCATCAAAGTCAAGAGAGTCGTCACAGCTTACCGGTCTGCATCGGCGGAGATCAACCGGCTGGCACTCAAGATCGAAAGAGTCGAGGTAATATGCGGTGCGATCAAGGACAGTCTCGAGGGAGACGTATCTTCGAGACAGTGCTCTGAGCTTATCAAGACCTGGGGTGTATGCGTTCTCAGAAGTATCTCATCGACACTCGCCGAAATCCATGCCATCATCACAAGGCTGGAAAGGGGGGGTGGAAAGAGACGTCCCTTCAACACCGCGGGATTCACATTTCTGGAATGCAAAGATGATATATCTCGGTTGAGCAAGTGGCTGGACGATGATCTGAATTACCTGCAGCATATGATGACTGCGGAGATACTGTGCGCCTTCCGAGTTCTACTTCTGAAAGCTCCAGACTGACTCGGTAGATAGCTCTAGGTGCAACATCGTCCAGCAGCTGACAATTCGCCGTCAGACCGAAGCATCTTCGTTGTCGAACATGAGCTCTACTCATACGCAGCCTGCTCTGCAACAAGATTACAACGGCGATCTGCCACCCCAGCCAAGACATACAATAATGGCGAAAACAGACGATCAGAAGATGATCAAAGCATTCGGCTTTCGGTTTCAAAACCAAACTAGGACAGTACTCAAGAAGTCTAGCTCTCAAGGGGCACAGGAGGTGTCCAACACGAGCGAGATCAAGACCTACACTTTCGGGCACCGCAGTGTTTCCTACAGGATAGAGCTGCATTGGTCCATGAGCACGTTGAGCCCCATGGTCTACGCCCTCGCTGTCCGCCATGTTCTCACCAGAGATAAAGACGAAGATCTGGTAGATTGGATATTAATTATTATGGGCAGAGGAGACTTGCCAGCGCTACAAGACCTACTCTCTACCAGGACAATCACTTTAGGCACCATGCTGGGGGATAGGACGCTGTTTGAGGTAAGATCTGGTGTTCAGAACTCGGTGGAGATCTTGGGAGGACTAACTTCTTGTCGGTCACAGTCGGCAGCGATTTGTAGCCAGCCGTCTCTTTGCCGCTTCCTCGCCCAGCAGAATCTTGATCTGTGCATAGATGAGAAGTAAGACCGTGAATGCACACATATATTGTCCAGGTATGCGGGTTAACAAGATGGCTAGCATCTGTAGGCCTGACCACTGGGCCGGGTTGATTGCACATCGATTTGAGCCTTCCCATTCTCGGCGCCGTGTTCTTGAAGTAGATGAAATTATTCAACTCACACAACTATCCAGACCCATGAGATTTAGGCTACTAACCGGTTGTGTTGAAGATCTAGATTCTCTGATTGTTGTATACAAACGGTGCAGAGTGCCTGCCGTGGATCAAATGGAGAGAAAAGCTTTCTTCGGTGCTGTCTGGGACATGGCAGTTCGCCTTATGGGGAAGCAGGCCCGTCAACATCCATTTTGGTGCCTAGAAGATCAGCGAACAAAAACTTGGACTCGCTTCTTCGTTGAACTGATCAATGAAGGCGTAGATGTCCACAGAGTCTGCAACTTCCAGGTCTACTATGGATTTAATCACTTACCGAGACCCGGAACCCTGCTTTTCCATCTTACTCGAAGCTCTGACTGCCACTATATAGTCGGAGCTGCCCTTTCTCACTGGGTAAGGATTTTGCTGGTGGCTGAGATTGATATTGCCAAGTATCTTCAACGCGAAGAACCCAGTTTCCCGCAATACATCGATTGGTTGTTCCCCCCATGCAAGGCCAGGGCATGGTTTACAGTGGCAGGCACAACAAAGATCGAAGGCTTTGACGTACCTCTGTTGCATCGGTATGTCGACCCGTATAGCAAAGCATACGAAGTCAGGAACGAGTTTAAAAACTTTGGCAAACTTCTCAAAGGCCATGTTTGGCCCGATCACGGACACTTGTCGACAATAAAAAACACGCATTGTCAGCAGCACGTGTTGTGGAAATCTTGCGAGATCGATGAACTCGAAGAGAGTGAATGGCCATTTGTTTCCAACCTTGTACGGGACTATGAACCGAGTGACCCTTTTCCTTATTGGGACTATCGACACCCCGACGGCAATCCTCCTGCAAGTTTCCACTACGCCCAGAGACTTATGCAGGAGAGGTTCAACAGAAGGCAGTTGAAAAAACTCTACCGATCTGGATATCTCAAAAGAGAAAAACGACCGTTGAAGATACCAGGAGCTTGGCCAGATTCCGCATGGTAGTTTGGAATGGCGATTGCGATCTTAAAAGCTTTTCCGAGATGATTTCCACCTTTCTCTTCAGCGGTTGAATTTGGGAAAGAAAACCAACGACACTTTCACGAGTCCAACCTGCGCTGCTCATGAACTACACGCATGAGAACCGCCACAAATTTGATGTCAGCAGAAGCAAGAGAACACCCCATCAATCTGGCTGTCTCAAGAGAAACAAGAAACCGAGAGGCTTACAAGACGACCGGCGTTGATAATCGAGAGAGAGAAGGTAGAACAGACTCGAAATTCACAGAATGCGTTCATTTCAACTCTCCTGTCATGGCGGCCAGGGTCCATATGTAGTAAATCGGTACCAGTCGGGTTCATGTGAATGTTCTCTTCATTACAAGATCGGTAATTGCCAGGCCAATGCTCCATCATGCATAACCGCCCTTGGCCAGGTTCATGCGGATTAGGCGCCTGTCTACGCTCAGGAAATAGTGAAAACCACCTTCTTTCTGACAAAACCTCTTAACGAGGAGGATTGGGCAGCGGCCTGGGCCCGACAATCTGTCTACGACCCGCCCCGATGCCCTGAGCACCCCGGTTCTGGTTGTCTCCTCCAGTGTATCCCGCCCACTGGCTCACATCCCAGCGGCCTCCAATGCCACCACCGATACCGTCAACCCCGTTGCCACTGGGAACAGCCTTGGCCGTCTCTTTTTGGGACTCCTCCCACTCACGCTGGCGTTCACGTTCCATCTCCATCTCTCGCTCGAGCAGCGACTTTGAAGCCCAACCACCCGCCTTAGTCTTGGTCTGGCTTTGAGCGCGCCGGCGGTCCTCGCCATCTTGCTCGGCAGTAGCGCCAAGCTCGCGTGAGTATGTCTGCTTGGCGACCAATGGCGCAGGCGCTGCGTTGTTGTTGAGATATCTGTCAGTTCGGCTAGGCGGGGCCCGCGCGGCCGCCTGATAAGCAGCAGGATCCGGGAGGGGCCGACCACCAGTCGTATGCGCTACAGCCTTTTGAGGAGGCGAAGCGACCGCCATCGGATCGGGGAGAGGTCTCGGCGATCTTGGTGGCGGCGCGGGGGGTTCGTCATCTTGATGCGAGTCTTGATGTTGCGACCACGCCGTCTGGAGAACCTCACGCTCATTTCTGGACCATGAGTCTTGACGGCTAGGGGTTCCATCGGAAGGCCGGCTCCTAGACCGAACGCGTTCCTTGGGGTCTTTGGTGACGGCCAGTGTCCTGCCCGTTCGTCCCTGGCGTTCAAGTTCATACTGCCTTTCGCGTTCCCTGGCCTCTTCGAGCTCTCTCTCCAGTTCAGCAATCCGATCGGCTCCAGTCTTCTGTGCTTTGATGCCCTGCTCAGACTGATATTGGCTCAGAAACTGGCCCCGGAGTCGTGCGTCGCTCTTGCTCCTTAGACGGCTTTGCTCTTCGTTCAAGCGTGCTTGAGCTTCAGCCTCCTTCTTGCGGCGATCCTCGTCCCTCGCACGCCATTCTTTTTCCTGCCTGTCCCACTCAAGCTTCTCCGCTTTGGCATCCTCTTCCGCTTGCCTCACTTTCAGTAGTCGTTCTTCCTCTTCTTCTTGTTTTCGCATAGCCTCGCGTTCGTCCTCCAGTTTCTTACGCCTTTCCGCGTCCTCTTGCTGTTGCTGTTGGCGCTGATACTCCTCCTCGAGTTCTTTCTCCTTTCGAATGCGCTCCTTCTCGGCCAAACTAGGCACTGCAGGGCCAGCACTCGTGATCTGCCTCCGACTGCCAAATGAGATTCCTAGGTTTCCTTGGCTGGCACCGCCCATATAGCCGTATTGGGCGATGTTCCAAGCGGGAGACGTGGCGCCTTCGTGTTCCTTTCTGCTCCAGCTGGTAACTGGGGAAGTAGGTTTAGTCGGGCTCCAGCGACCCGAGCCGGAGTCTCCGGTCTTGGCGCTGGTCAGAGTAGGCCGAGGCGAGCCGAAGCCTGATGCATTGGAGAATCCGCGCGACCTTGTCGGCGATGGGGTTCCGCGACCAGTTCCTTGGGGACTCATCACTCCTCCCCGGCTCCGGCTTCCGATTGCCGTCGGGAACTTGGCTGGGTTTGCTGCGTTCGCGGCTCGACTGAAAGCGCCCAGGCATTGGAGCACTTGGGCAGGGTCTTTTTGTTCAAATAAGTCGACGGTCAGGAAGACATCGTGGTCTTGAAGGTTGAGAGGAGGTTGTTTGCAGGCGCGCAGAAAGTGAGAGATGTTTTCCATCTGTACGAATGGCATGGCCGACTTCTTGAATTTGACGCCTGGTGGTGGTACCGCGAGATTGATCAACCTAAGGTATCTGGGTCAGTATTGGTAAGTATGGGATATGTTAACCCACGCACTTGCAGAGTGCAACGCCATCCTTCAGTCCCTCCAGCAAGTCGCCTGCTGGTAGTCTTTCACCCAAGACCCCTTCGATCCAACTGCTGACTTCTTTTGCAGCAGCCGGTGTGTACTTGTCGAGGCGCAATTTGCGCAAATCCTTGTCCAAGGACGATACAGAGGCCATGATGGCGTCGTTGACTGGCGATTGATCAAGATAGTCTTTCGTATCGTTGTACCAAATCGAGTCTTGCGGGTTCAGGAGCTTTGAGGTTGGTTTCGCGAGGGCGTTTCAGTAGGGTGACGGTTAGGCGCTGACGTCGGCGGGGTCCGGCGATGACGGAGTTGAAGTAACGGATGCAAGTTTCTGTCGTTCGGCGCGCGTTGCGCGGGACTTGCTTCAGATGATATCGATCGCGTGTCTTCAGTCTTTTTGTGGGTGAAAACAAGTGTTAGGCCAATGTTTTGCGGGGGAATCAAGGCAGTCGGGTGGCAGGTTGAAGTGATTGGAAGGCCCGATGAAGAACGGCCGTGGTGGGGATGTTTTAATTGTTTATGCATCTAGAGCCAGGCGCCGCTGGCGGGAACCTGGATAAGGTGACAGGACCCAGGGTCCGGCTGGACCGCCGCGGTCTTGCGGAGTGACGTGTGCGGTGGTGGCTGGCGGGGCCAATGCAACTCTGATGCTGCGAACGCTCAGTCGCGGGTTTCCATTGCCATTACAGAGGAAATATGTGGCTGACGATAAGATACGCCATTCCTCGGCCAAATTTCAAGTGGCGGTGCAGTCCAAGGTTGACCTCATTACTTTTCTAGGACTTGGCGACTTTTGCATCTAGAAGCCATGGGTTCCTGATCGAAGATATTTCTTTCCCAACCACCCATTCCAACAGCGCAAATGTCTTCAACACGGATATCACCAATTTTAGAGGCGTGGTACAAGTGGAAGTCGCTCAGACTGCCATGGCGCAAACGCTTCCTTGTCGGCATGTTCCCTTCCCCGTCCCCGGCCCATCGACCCCCATTGTCAACGTCCGAGGAGAACTAACACGCTCGGTTCTAGGCCGTGACCTGCAGGGCTATACTTTCTGGGAGTTTCGCGAGTCACGGGGGAATGGTCCCGGCCGCTTCCGCCGTATTGTTAACTATCCCCGATCAATCTACCTCTCCGACGTGAAGGTGTCACCATTGTGGCATCAATGGCTGCGCTACACCCGAGAAGACCCCCCGACACTTGAAGAACAAACAAGAGAGGCATTTAGACAGGAGCGGATGAAAGTTTTGTCCGCGCAGGCCGACGCGAGATGGGAGGCAAAGCCTAGGCTTACCGATGCTCCAGGCCAGCAGACTGGTCAACCTCTGCCGTCATTGAACACTGCGCGGTCACAGCCCACGGCGCCGGAGCTGGAAGCAGCCAACACGAATGCAAAGACGACAGAGCTGCCAGAGGATCAGGCTCAACCTGCGACCGATGCGAAGAAGAAATATGGCAAGGATCCTTGGGCGAAAGCCAGTGGACTAAGCGAGGGCTGGCAGCCAGAAGCTTGGGTTCCGCCATCAGGGAAGAAATAACAAATTAAGAGGCGGCATGCCAATTGTGTATTACTAGACGCCAGAAGAAATCTGCGCCCATGTACCAACAATAATTGAAACCGAACCCGGCTGTCGAGTCCATGAGATCATCCTTGTTACCGTTTGCTTGAAGAATAATGCCCTAGCAGCGTGTCTGTATTTGCTTGCCCTCCAATGCAAACGCCTGAACGCCTATTCCCTGCTATTCCATGCCCAAGTCCTGACGCCACGTTTCGTAATAAGAGCTCTACTGCGTAATCGGTGCTTTAGTCGACGTCTTCCCTCTTGGTCTCCTTCTCTATAGAGCCCCGAAGTCTCTCCTCTTGTCTCCTCCAGTGGCTTCCCTCCTCGTAGTCTTTGCTTATTCTCAAAGCGCTCCTGAGTCTCTCGCTCTCTTTGATCTTAGCGTCTGCCATCTCGTGCACCTGATGGCTTTTGAAGTGCTTCCGTACGGGACCACCACCGCCGCCGCCGCCGCCGCCACGGCTGTTCTTTTGTTTCTCGAGGTCGGCCAGTAGTTTCTTTCGCATTTCGTCGCATCGCTTCTCAACTTCTTCCTCGTCGAGGCTAGAGCACCGTTAGTATCCTTGCAAGGCCAGGGGCGGGGGAGGGGGGTAAGCTTACCCTTCATCTTCGAGGGTGTCGCGCAGATCAAGGACCTTAACCTCGACCTCACGCTTGCGGTCATGCTCTAAGATCTCTTTATCGGGCTGTCGCTGCTTGTGACGGAGCGAGTCGGCGTCTTTGGGAGGATAGGGCGCGCCATAGTCGCGTGGGCGCATGTGCGCAAGGTTGCGCTGAACATAGCCTGAAGTACCGCTGCCACGAGGCGTTGAGAGACCGACGTTGTCGGACATGGTTATCGAGATTATGTGGTATATATCAACTCTAATCGGAGGAAGTAAGGAATGCGCTGTTGATGTTGATCTCTCGAGTCGGTGTTGGCGGGAAAATCAAGATGTATCTCGGTACTTTGGATCTGCAAGAGACGTCACCGAGACTAGACCCTTGGCAATGGTACCACGGACGAAGTTTAGTTGGGCTTCGAAAGGCGGTGAAAGTGTATAGAGAGATGGGGGCCGGCAGAAAAGTTATGACGGGTGGGATGGTGGGGTACTTTTCCGCTTTGGGCGACAGGAAGACTCACTTAATGTGAGAAGACTCATCGATGTAAGTGAGGAACAGAGCAAATTTCACCCCATCACATTTTTTGCCGGAACCTCGGGATCCGAATTTACTCGTGTCCTCGACTATACAAACTGAAATCGCTGTATAGACACTTAGGCCAAGCTAGCCTTCATTCTCAACAATGCCGTCTCTTGAAGGTCTCACTGAGGGGCAGCCAACCCTGGACGCCATAAATAATGCAACTGCTCAGGAGACCGAGGAACTTACCTTTCCGCCAGTCACGAAGGAGCATGTTTTGAACTGTTCATACGATAGTTGGTTCCCGAAGTACCGGACTGTGTCGATCAGATCCAGAATCATCAAGCTGTCGCCTGACTTTGTCCAATACATCCGTGACGACGGCATTATTCTCGCCGACGACGATGAGCCGCAAGAGGACGAAGCAGAGGAGGAATGGTCCGCTTCATCGAATACAGCCGGCGCACCACGACGGAATCAACATCTCGAAGAAGATGATTCCGACGACGAACCCGAAGCTGACTGCCGGCCGCCCAATGAGCGATTCCCTGAAATTCACCAAGAGATCAAGGAGAGGATCAAGGAGCTGGGCGGTTCCGTTGCGCCGAAGCTGAACTGGTCAGCACCGAAAGATGCCGCTTGGATTTCGCCGCATCAGAACACGCTGAAATGCACAACGCCCAACGATATTTACCTCCTGCTCAAGAGCTCTAGCTTCGTGAGCCATGACCTGGAGCACGCCTTTGAGGACACCGTCCCCTCCTCCGCCAACAGGCCTTTCCAACCGGTCCTGGTCCTGAGACCCTTCTTTGCGCCAAACCCGGCCCTCGAGTTCCGGTGCTTCGTCAAACATCGCACTTTGATTGGTCTTTGCCAGCGTGACTGGAACTACTACCCCTTCCTCGATGGCTTACGACCCGCGTTGGTATCTAAGATCACCGATTTCTTCGAAGACCGCCTGCGCTTCACCTTCCCAGACGGCTCATTCACGTTTGACGTCTACGTTCCCGGTGACAGTGATTCACGCGACGAGCTTGGCAAGGTGCGCCTTATCGATATCAACCCCTGGGCGCCTCGGACAGATAGCCTACTCTACAGCTGGGTGGAATTGCTAGAGTTCAAGGTTCCAGGACCCATCCTAGGCTCAGTTGTCAACGAAGAAGAGATTATTAGAATAGGCCCAGGTGCCAACGAGGAAGACCTTGTTGATGGCAGCGGCGTTGAAGAAACGACAGACGATGAAGACATTGACGAATTGGTGCCTGAATTGAGGTTGGTCGAGAAGGATAACCCTGCTGCCTTCAACTTCAGCACACCGCAGTACTCGGCGCACAAGCTTCCCAAGGAGGTCGTTGAGGCCAGCATGTCAGGCGACGGTGGCTTGAGGGAGTTCGCCCAGAGGTGGAAGGAGATGACAGAGGCTGAGGGTGGAGGCGATGTCTGGGAGAACCCTCCCACAGCTGAGTCGTGAGGTTCATCGCAACAAGATAAATGACTGAAGGATCATGGTTAGAATGATCCGGCCCGCGGTCAGGTCAAGATTCAAAAGAGCTTTTTCGAACTGGAAGATTTAGAAACGACCAGGATATGCTCCCCCCCCCCCCCTTTGCGCATGTCTCTTGCTTCCTGTCCCAACCTAGTTGCTTGGAAGGTTCTTCCCTCACGTTCCAAGGGATGTCTTGGCTCAGCCAAGGTAGAGGTATGAGATGGCCGTTTTATAAGAGACCTGCATTGCCAAAGCAGTGTAGGTAGCGAAAGTCCATTTTCCCTGCCATGTGCCTGCGTCTCCATTCTTTGGCATTAAGACGTCGACTGTCACATGAAAGCCATAATCATCAAGGTGAGGTTCAGGTAGTGACGTGATTGGTGACATGACACCTTTTTCAACTTACTGGACCGTTGTGCTCTCACCTCCAGGCCTCTTTCTATCGATTACATAATTCTCGGCAAAGCTTAGGCGGAGAACTTCTGGCCCGAGCTCCCAACTGCACCACAATGGAAGCACCCAAATTGTGAGTGGGACCGAACAGCAATCAGCAGCTTCTTCCCGCTCAATCAACACCAGCTCTTTCGAGGCCCCCAAACTCCTCATCACACACTCTCTGCAGCTGACACCAGCTGCCCACTCTCAACGCCACTTATCATCGCCGACTAGCTAGAGCTCCCTCACCGTCCACCATCGTAAAAGAGGCAGCGTCCTCTTCGATTACCCCATGAGTGCCCGAGGCGGAAGCCGACCACCTCCTCGAGGCCGCCCAAACAAGGTGACGAAGCCCACAGCCGGCCTCAAGAGGGACGCCCACGGCCGCGCCAGCCGACACTCCTCCGTGGCTGCCGACCAGCTCGAGCAGCTCGCCCACGATGCGGAGGCCGAGGCCGAACACGAAGATGACGACGAGATAACCGCCCCTCCCCAACATCACCAACATCATCACCAGCAGCAACACCACCCGCACCCCTTCGACCTAGCCACCGCAGGCATCCTAGCCAACGGCCCCCCCGGCACAGTACCGGGCGCTGACCCCGATATCCATCCCGATCTACACAGCCTGCCGGCCCAGTTCGCCATGGAAGCCCAGATGGGCGGGCATGGTCCTGGCGGCATGTCGAGGACGGCCGAAGATCTCGCTTCCGAGAGTGGATACGGTCAGCTACTCATCGACAGTGCCCTCGCCAAGCGACTGGCCAACAATGAAGGAGAGCGACTTGCAGTACAGCGTCGCCAGGATCAAACTCTGAACCTCAAGAGAAGGAGCAATGTCGAGGCACTACTGGCCCATGTATCGGGACAGGAAGCTCATAGTCCCTGCAAGAGCTGCCATAAAGGATACGGACCCTGGAATGGATGTGTGGTCGTCAGTGGCCAGATGTGTGGTAGCTGCGCCAACTGCTGGTTCAACGCGAGCGGTTCACGCTGTTCTTTCCATGGTAAGCAAAAATGACCCACAAGCTCGACCAGATGTCAAGGTGTTGAGTGACTAACGAACTTGGCCACACAGAGAACAACCTCCCTCAGCACATGCCAGCCATACAGCTACAGCCTGTGCCACAGGTGTCGGCGAATACAAGCTTTGCCGGCACAGCGCCGATGGCTCCCGGCATGGCCCCCGCAGGCCCCAGCTTCGGGCAGCCAGGCGCCGATCCGACCATTGCCCATTTTGTGAAAGATGTGTTGGAAAGAGCCATGACGGAGGCACGGAGCGATAACCCCCACGTTCGATTCCAGCTCCGGATCGAAACGGCGGCGCGGCAGCTAGCATTGGCTAGCGCCGAGTACGCCGAGTTCCTCGCTCAGCAGGGGGGTCACGATCCGAGTCAGCATCCCGACCCAGAGGGCTCCGTGCCGGAGGCGGCGATGGGGGAGGGGGATAACGGGGCGTGAGAGAGGCTCTGTTCACCTCTATTCCCCTCCATGCTTTTTGCTTACATCTCTGAGTACCGAAGTATAAAAGACGAGATGAATTCGATCATCGGGACCGTAAGGCGTCTTCAGGTCTGCGAAGTTTATTCGGAGTTGCCAAGATAGGGTGCCCGAGTCGCCGACTCTGCGCCTTAGCAGTTGGGCAGCAACTATCACGACGTATGGCCACAGTTTCTTTGGCGTCATCGTACCACTTTGCATTTGGGAGCAAGTTGGAGTCAGGTGTTCGACTTACTCGCTCATCAATGTCCTCCCTTTAACTCCCCTTGGCGCTTGCATCGTCAGGCGCCGCCCTGTATGCGAACACATGGACTCGGACAGGAACACGACAACGTCACGACGAAACAGGACGCGAGAAGGATTCGGGATATTCCCTGCTCAAAGAAACCAGAGTAGCCATGCAGCCAGAAATCAGGATGGACAACACAGACGACACTGAACAATAGCGGACATCGGAGGACAATGGTAGTCTGGCGGCTGGCTAGACCTCGAGCATACAGTCGTGTTCTAAGAAAGGGCCGGCTCACAGTTACTTGGATTTGGTCGTTAATAGTCGTGCAAACGCAGATAGATTGATACCAAGAGCTTGTCAAAAAACGCATAGGTGAAACTTTCACTACACCATTTCCGAGCCCATACACTGTAACCAGCGGGTCTAAGAGGGGCAAGCGAATATCTGGATGTATTGTCTCATTCATCCTCATTCGCTCACACTTGACTTCTTGGCTTACACAGTACAGCATCTCATACCGGCCACACTCCATTCCCAAACCTATAGGCTATGATATTGATCACAAGTCCGTCTCTGCAGGGGCTAGGATGTCTACTGCTGTCACACAGCCGGGGCTGTACAAACAATCTCGCCGCACCATGGTCCCGTCGCGGGAAGCGAAAACACACCCCTTGGGCCCTTCCCATCTATATTCCGTCTTGTCATATATCCTCTAGTTTGGGAAAAGATCCAGCCGATTTGCCTTTATCATCCGTTGCTGCTACGCCATTTCACCTAACCCGCCGGCTCCGTCCCCCAGCCTGACGAATCGTCTGACGTTCAACGTGAGGCCACCCATCCATCATCTGTTGCAACAGTCCGCCTTACACTACGCTGAGATGCTCACACACCTGGTATGGATATGGTTGATAAAGGGTGAAGGGCGGACAGCCACTTTACAGACTCCAGATGCCTGACAGCGTAGCATGCGCCCTCCCGCTGCTGAATCTCTCGCGTGCAAACCTCTACCCGAGTAACCTACCTTCAGCGAGTACAATATTCTCAGCTTCTTTCTCTCCATGTCTCATCAGTCCAAACTATCTGCCCAATCAACTCGTCGGTTTCGGCTTCGCTCGGGGAGGGCAAGAGGGATTCATGCTCCGTCTGCGGTCTGCGGACTTATTCCAACCGTGCTCTTTCTCCTAGGGTACGCAGCTTACGCACCGGCATGTACTGGATCAATCTTCGTCCCAAGAACGACAGAGAAACCCCCATATATAGTTCACAATCGATCCCAAGTCAACTCACATAAACCTTGGGAGCCCGATTTCAACGCCCCCCGACGGAAAGCTATTTTACACACAGACACACACCAGCTGCCAAATTAGCCCCCCGTCTCCTTTCTCAGCGGTCAACGTGAACTCTGATCTGCCCGTAGTACTCCACCCCACCCGTGATGGTCTACAGCAAAATAGACATTTCTCTATTCCCGGGAAGATGTGGACGGTGCCCGTGGGAAAATGTTCAAAGCGCGATCCCTTCCGCAGTCGGTGGGCATAGGCGATTGCGAAAGAGAGCCCTACAATGCTGTGTAAGTGTATTGGTGTAATTAGTGTACATGTAAATTTGGGCAAAAAAAACAAGAACAGCAAACGCAATCTGGATGAAACGTCACGCCGGCACTCCACACAACCCCCAACTTTATCTCAATTCCCTCTGTCCTTTTCGTGACCCCCCTTCTCATCTAATCTGAAGCCTCCAAAACAAGTACACGTGTGTTACGGAGATGTTGTAAGGAGCGAGATCGCATCGTGCCGAATTCCCCGACTTTGTGAGGCGAAGTAAGGCAAAGCATACCCAAACCCTACCCGTCCAAGTCTTCTTGCTCCGCCCTTTGGATTGTTGGAAATGAAAGGGGCCCTTTAACGGAGTACTCGAATCCGGTCTACGTTGGAGACGGTATTTTCTGTATCGAGCAAGGTCACGTCGCAAGAATTGGCCAATATAACGACTGCGTATTAAACATATCACAACTCATATAACTCGTTGGTCTGAAGAAGGGAATGGAGGGGCCGCTGCGGGCAAGGGCAGGGCATACCAATCCTGCGACGTGTTTGAGAATCGGGGGAGAGGGTGAGCAACAGCATTCGTTCTTCAGACGGGATGAAAGGAGATGATCCTTACCCAATATCACGAAAGAACGAAGCCCCCCCCCCCCCCCCTCGCCTTCCGACCCCGGCACCGGATCTCACCTCCAGCATCACCAACACTACATGCCACCAAACATCACTGTCTATACTTGAGGCAATCCGTCTGTGTGCAATGTGCAGATTCGGGGGCGGCGGCGGGCAACCACGCAACGCAATACCCGCCAGCCCCATGAGCTTAGCTCGCCTCCGCCTGTCCTTGGTAAAAGCACTTTATGCCCAAGGGCCTGCCATCCTTGTCGACGATCACTCCAACGGCTTCTTCACCATCGATTCATCCCCCCTTCACCTGCGTTTGCACTTCGCGATACCTATACATGCCAAGCTTCAATTCACTCACCTCACGAACGTACCTATTCCCCCCTTTTCCCTCTCGTCTCGAGTGGCAAAGACCCAAGCGAATGGCAATAGGTAACGCCACCTCCCAAAGCAAGCTTGCGCCACCATCGCTTGCTTCCACACACAAACACAGCCGACAACCGCGCCTCCCGTCCCGTCCCATCCCAAAATGTGTCGTCAAAGTCTTGAACCATATCTCCTTATTGCAGTACTGGAAATGTGTGCGTGCTAGTGCGTTCTTGGAGACCTCTCCGTATACACGCGGCCACACTCGGCTCTCCCAGCCCCCCGCGTCCCTTTCCCATTTACCTTTCCCTCGTCGCCGTCCACCCTCTATCATGGAACTCAAAATTCTGGACCAAAGAAAAGCGGACAGAAGAGGCGGGTGACGAAGACGAGGAGGCGGCCGCGGCGCGGCGGCATAGACAGTGTAGAGTAAAGGACCCCTTGCGGCCTTAAACTGAATTTCGAGAAATAAAGATGGTGTGGTGATTGTGAGGCAATTGCAGTTGATGACGAAGACGAAGACCTTCAACCAGACTTATACCAAGCTACGCTACACTTCGTCCGGGAGGCTTAGGTATGATTAGGCGCTTTCCCCTTACGTACATTACGGGAAATATATCCCATGAACGGAAGCGGTGTTGCCTTGCAAAGACCGCAAACGGCGCAATGCGGAGAACGGAGGCGGGCACGACGACGCCGGTCCTGGATGTGGCGCCGGTTCTCGACCAGCCTTCCGTCCTAAGCTAGCTATCCATCTTGGCCTACTGCGCGACGGCAGATGGCGATCTTTACAATGGGATTCTGATGGATGTTGAAGGTGATCATGTCTCGCAGACTAGCTGCAACCGCAGAACGCCATGTATCACCAGATCTCAACGCTCCTGGATGTGCATCGTAGACAACACCCAGTAGACCTTCCCGTCGCGGGTTCACCTCATGAGTGAGATGCGTAAAGAGCCTTCGAGGAACGGCCACTTAGCTACGCATCATGTCACAATTGCACGATATTAAGGAGATTTTCGTAATTAAACAGAATATTTAGCCACCTTCCATCCATCAGGCTCTCTCAAATGCATTCAAGTTCATTGCTTCTTTTCCTCTTGCTATCCTTCCATGGGGGCCAACTTCCCATCTCTCTCCTTCTCTCCTGCCCCCATCTCACTCTCTCACTGCCGCTGCCCGCCCGCAGTAGGATTCCGTCTTCCGCGGCGAGCCCGTCTGCTGGTCGAGACATCATGTTTGGTACAGAACTACCTCCCACCTTTCCCCTCTTATTCCTGAACGCGGGCCAACAATAGCACAACCAAAAACGTATACCGCCTGATTCGCGAGGCAATATACGAGGGGATAGCCGGGAGGTAGGAAGAAAAATACAGTCGCGTAATCAAGGGAATCTTGGGAAACCGTCGGGTCGCCGTCTCATCGTCGGGAAGAAAGTTAATTTCATGAGCCAGCCTCCCCACGACGCTTTCTGGCTTGGGTCATGCAATTAGAAGTAAAGGGTATTGTAGAAAAAGCAAACGTTTTTGTTGTTCAAATCAGACCGCACAACCGCAGGTTCTCTTGAATGATGATGTCTAGTTAAAAGGTTAGCTTGAGTCTCTTTGTGCGCCTTGTCTCACGCAGTGCATGATGAACGTTGGACGTACCATTCACTGCCGCCATGACGAAGCGGATCTGAGTTGTGTCTGTCGCGCAGGTGAAGTGCGTGTAGATTTGCTTAGTCTCATGCTGGTTCAAGCTGACGAATCGGTTGAGAATGTAGTCGCACGCAGCAGCATAGTCATCTCCGCCTTCGTAATCGGGGAAGTAGTTCTTCATCGGGCTGACGGGGAGCTTCTCCTTGAAACGATCGATCTTGTTCAAGAAGAGGATGATAGACGTCTTGATGAACCATCTTGAGTTGCAGATGGAGTCGAAGAGAGTCAAGGCCTCCTGCATACGGTTGACAGTCTCGTCCTCGAATAGCAGCTGGTCGTACTCGGAAATGGCGACCAGGAAGAGAATGGTAGTGACGTTTTCGAAGCAGTGAATCCACTTCTTTCGCTCAGATCGTTGACCACCGACATCGAACATTCTGTAGGTCAGGTCGCCAATGATGAATGTGGTTTCCGTGATACCCGTTGTCTTGACACGCGATCGGAGGACATCCTGGTCGTTGGGCATGTAGTCAGGAGCGGCGATACGCGCGATATTATCGAAATAGCTGGGTCTCGTTAGCGCACATGGCAATTTCCCACACGAGGAGCAGTCACTCACTATCTTGCTGAATCGTTGAGCTGGTATTCGCGAGAGCGCTTGAAGCACTCTTGCACACCTCGATCCTTCCACAGCGCCTCAATCGCGCTTCCAACTTCAGGAGGCAGAACATCGCCCTCGATCTGGGCGGGCTGCATGAAGATGGTTTGGACGTGGTACTCCATGCGCTGGTCCTCAAGGGGCAGCTCCAAGGACTCCATTGCCTCGAGGATGACACGCATGGATTGCACCGTGTTGCTGAAGATAATCTCCTTGAAGGATTCCCGTTCATCGCGTGAGTAGCCGCCCTCGTGAATCAGCTTCATCTGTTTCAGAATTGTCGACTTTCCGGATTCACCAGCACCTATAGAACTGTTAGAGAATCATTATGCAGCGATGCGATGATTGAACGTCGTCGGATGGCGCTAGGTACGGCGCGCACAGAACATGCAATCGCGGGCAGATGTTGACGTACCCAGAAGAAGCATCTTGATCTCGTTGCGCTGCATCATCTTATCCCTCTTCAGCTGATTCTCGATTTCCTCATTGCGGGCCTTGCCCTCCTTGTCCTCCGTGCTCATTCCGCAACCCATTTTGGCGGCTTGGTGTCGTTGGAAACGACGACTGGTAGAATAAAATTGATGGGATTAAAGGGAATTGGGGATTCAGTAAAGAATTGGGCGTTGCGCGTTGGAGACCTGAAAGAAGCAAAGCTTGTTAGCCAACCACGTCGCAGGTGGATGTGATGCCGACGGGCAAACGAGAGAGACGGGTCGAATTGTTTGGGGGCGACGGGCTGGAATGCGAAGTTGATCCAGGCGATGGCGGATAAGAGACGAAGAGTCGAAAGGTCGAGGGAGGATGCTACCATCGAGCGAGCGGGCAGGTGGAGGTGTTTCTCCTTTCTAGGCTGTCTCTTTTGCGTGTCTCGTTCGTTTCGCTTTCTCAATTCCCAGTGGCTCCATGTCGGCGCCTGCAAGTTGGAAGATTCGTGGTGCGTGTCTCTCTCTCTCGCCTGCATGCGGTAGGAAAAGTTGGATGAAACTCACCTCTTGGTCGTTGGATTGATGATGGAATCACTCAATCGACGATGAGTCGTCGAAAGACGCAGCAAACAGGAAAAGAAAACACGAGCCGTTGGGCGGACGGTGGGAGGATGGGATGGTCGCGACAGGATTGGGAGACCAGGAGCAGGAGAGGGAGAGAGAAAAGAGAGGAATGGGTTGGGAGGTGCCTCTAATGTGGAGAGGAGAGATGGGAAAGGGCAAGGGTGGAGGAGTTATGAGCAAGGATGGCGGCGACGGTGCTGCGAGGAACCAGAGGGTAGTGGGAGAAAAAGAGTGGGCGGCAGTCGTCGCCGGGGCGGACAATGCGCTTCGGGGCGAGGTACGGGGATAAAAGTACACTGTGTGAAAAAGACGGAGAGAGGCACGGCGGAGGCGAGGAAATGGCGAATTGGCGGTCTTTCCAACTTGGTGGACAATGAGGAGGGGGTAAGGCACGCCGCATGGGGGGAGGGCACGGGGGGGGAAGGAGGGAACCAGTGGCACCAGCCTGTGGTGCCAGACGTGGTCCACGGGGTTTCCTACCAGGCTGGTGTCTGTCTATGTACGCTGTACCTGTACCGATATGAGGCGTCCCGTTCTTTTGGACTTCAGATTGACAGCCCCGACTGGCTGTACCTGGCCATGATGGAGGAGTTGGCAGCAAGACTAGTGGCTTTTTGGGGGCCATCGCCGGGCGTCCTCGACACTGAAGCAGCCTGGTGGGGGACGCTGGACTCTGGAGGCTCCTTCCCGTGGCCAGTGCGCGGCAACGCACCTCACTTCACTTCACACCTCAAACTCGGGCTCACTTGACTTGAACTCATCACCAGCTCGCACTTATTTCAGCCATTTGCATTTCACATATGTATATATACACACTATGAAAGTACTATAATTTCCATGGCTTTCGCAAGCAATACATAAGAAAAGCTTCAGAGATCAAGGCCACGAGCATAGATAGGTACGATGTGGGCAATGCTTTGGACGCGAATATCCAGCTACCTTCCAGTAGGTACCTGTCCGTACGGCGCGTCCCTCTGGCTATACCTTAGTGCAGGGGCCAACAGGGGCTGGGAGTTCCAGAAGCACGGACAAGGTACATGTCCTGGCCTTGGTTTTGGTGCTAAGCTGTCTCTGGTGCGGCCCGGTACGTATCCACCTGTACCTGCTTTATGTGATATATCGCCTTACATAAGGGCATGTACGTACTTCTCGATGCATTTAGCCCCAGTTTCTCGTCTGGCCTCCCCGGTCGCTATTGTCTTAGGTTGTCCTGTCATCGCCTGTCTCTTCCTTTCCTGAGCCAAGCTAACGTCGATGTTCAGCGCCGTCTTCTCGCCCCGAGCTGACACTGAGAGATGCGGTTAGAGGCACCGCAGATCGGGAAGCCGATGAGATGGATGCTTTGTACCGTCCACAACCTACCTATTCCTTACGCGCCTACACCCACGCATACTCCGTACCTACACTACCTTTGCTCTGCTCCTGTGCAAGTGTCAGAAACACACGGCCAGACTGACGAAGACCTCGCCGACCAATCGACGACAACCTGCTAGACCTGGATGGAGACGATGACCAGGAGTGTCTTCCAGCGGGCGTGGATCCGCACCCAGGCCTTTGCAACGTTGAAATCACCGCGACCGGGCCAATAGCCAGTGGAGAAGAGCTCGGCGAGGTCTCATCCAGCCAGAGGTTGCCCGCAACGAAGCCGAAGTCCCCTGGAGTCCCTGGCGTCTCTGGGCGGGAAAAGAACAGGGGAAAGGGGTCTCGCACTGGTCTGCCTGGCCTGACTGGTCTTGAAAAGTCCTTGTTCGCCGCCCTGACTAATGTAAAATTTCCTCGCGCTACCACTGACCATAGACCAGGCACGGAGATGGCCTCTCTGGGCCCTGTGTGAGCTCTTCCTTCGGCCGGGTACGAATCCGCTAACTGCAATGGGACTCCATGTCTCTCCTAGACTACCGCTACGGATACAATCTGTTGCTGTGTGGTAGTTAATATGGATCAAGCCACCTTTGGTGACTGGTCTAGGAACAATAATTAGGTGAGAAGCACGAGCCAATGCCAATACGAACCGGAACTTTGACATATTATCTTGAGCTGACGCCCATTTAGCAAATTGACGGTTCGCGGTCTACAGCGACTTGACAACATCATGATGATTCCTACGGGTGCAATCTGTGAACTCCGTAAGCGTCGAACGGCAACCCATCCTCTGCCGACCGGCAGTAGCATCTGCGGATGTGGAGGACTCGGGAGTCGGTCGGGGAGGGGGGACCGCGGGCGGGCTCAGTCCAGATTCAGTCCCAACCAGGAAGAAGAAAATCTGCACGCTTCCTTTTTCGCAACCATCTGCACCATAGCCTGCAGCTGCAAGCAACGCCAGACCATCCGCCGCGGCCAAGCAGACGAGAGATCCACCCATCCACAACCTACCCAACATGGATGGGTTATGGAACATTGGAATTCGAGTAACGTCCTTCCATCGAAACTTCCATTGCAATTCTCGAAACACTACTGTCCTCGTCAGCCGCCTCCCTAGGGCAAGGAGGTGAACGAAGTTGTTGCCGTGGGCAAGGTCCTATCCACACCTTCAGGTCCTCCACAAGATCTACCCACCACCACGGCCTCGTTCATTACGGTGGCCACCCATCATGGAGTGCGGGTACTCCGTATTTACCAGGCCTTTACCCTACATACTCGTTGGTATGCACAGATCTGGATCTTAGTGTTAGTTGGACGCCAAACTGCATTGCACACTTACCAGACAAACTAGCAAAAGACCCAAACTCTCCATACACTTGGCCGTCACCTTTTGATTCGCCCGCAAACGCTTCTGCAATCTGCACTGCCTCGACCTTGCTTCAGAAGACAGACCATGGATGTTGAGGTGGGACAAAGAACCCGCATGCTCAAAGGCAGCCTTCTCTCAAAACAGGCCTAAAGTACATGGAGACCAGTAGCATTCCCTTTCTTTTCTACTCCAAAGTGGGAACTCATGCTGTCAACTCAAAAAAAGAGCCAGACGCCAATGGGCCGGTCCATCGCTCTAGTTCTCTTTCATCCATTAGGAAGAACCGGGGCCGCATCGGAGCTACGGTCCCACGGCCATGGCGGCTACTCTACTCATCACCGTTCTAGCTCGTACAAGCGTCTCTGCCACCACATTCGGCGTCAACGATATTACCTTCAGACCTGGAAATCGTATGCATAGTCTCGTCCTGAGATCGTCCTTGCGCTTATTGGGGCAGGCAGCGGAATCTCGGATTGCCGTGATATCGGATTATCGCGAGAGATCCCGTCTTCTTGTCCACCCTTGCGTCCACTTAAGATGTTTGGCCGCTCCACCTCTTTTATGCGGTATACCACACGCCGTCTATCGATAATTGGACAGTGTTGGCCAACTACTCTCAACGAGATCGTCGTCTGGGACACATTGAAAGATCCTTTTGATCAAAGAGCGATATGATCAAAAAAACCCCGCTTGCTTGCCCTGGCCTATGTGTTTGCTTCAAATCTCGTCTCATTTAGCAATTCTCTCTTGTGTGCGTGGCGCAAAGTCTCCAGAAGCAAGAAGCTAACGTAATGGGAAAAGAGTAAGCAAAATATACTTAGACACATACAAATCCTATCATCAGGGGCAGTGGCGTCCAACGCCTCGATCAACTGTTCGAAAGCCCACTTTGGATCTTGACTATCTGAATAATATTCTAGCCGGCTCACATTAGGAGCTGTCATCACGCCAAGACAAGGCTCTATGTCGAATATTCCTCTACCCAAACCCAATATCAAATAACTGGTCGACAATAACAGCATTGTTTGCGGCAAGTAGTCATTTCACTATTTCCGAGTTTCCAACATCTTTGGGCCTCCGACTCAGCCCGAGATGTTTGCTTTTTACCAGTCCACGTACTCCTTCGCGTCTGCCCTCGGGCGCTTGCTACTTTGCTGCAAGCTGCCGCCAAGGTGATTCACCTACATATGAGTTCAGTGCTCAGTACTGGCTACCGCTACACACGATTCTGCTTGCACATGGTACCATCGGCGGATCAAAAGCTAGTACTAACAAAATCCTGCCAGTAAACAAGATCTACGTCTGAACGCGATAATCTGTTCCGGTACCCAGATCCCCATTGACGCACGGGCTTTATAAACCCGAAAAGTCGACCTCGATGTCTGTTCAAAGAATCGCTCGGCCGTGTTTGAGCATCGAGCAAAGCAGGCTTTGCACTAAGAAAGCCACCGACCCAAGCTGCTCGGCAATAGACGAAGCTGTGAAGCTCAAAGAGAGACATCATTCATACTGACTCGGTCCTGTTGCATTGATTGGCTGCCAGAGCGCATCGACGGCTTAGATCTTGGAAATGGTACTTGTAGGGCAATCATTGCAGCCAGCCAATAAAACGCCACACGAACATGATCATGTATCGAGAGCTAAGCACCGCATTAACCACAAGTCACGGTATCGAGATGGGCGCTCCGACTTGCGATACTGCCGGAGCCACCCTCTTAGTCGGCCGACTTAAAATATGAAAACTTACTTCTCTGGAAAGCAAACAACAGAGCAAACAGACCAGAAGCGGTATCTACTTCGCAGGCTCACCGGGGAGAACCGTCTGAAGCCCAGGGCATTCGGCGCTTCGTCGTTACGTCTAAACCCTTACAGGGCGCACAGATTATCACGTCTTTCACATCGAAGTCAACGTACGCGTTGACACATTGGAGAGGGTAGGTATCTCTTGATTTACCGCTCAGTGCCATGAGAGCCAAAGCCTGGAGTTTGGGACGGTTAGACTCCACCATTTTAGCTGCCTTGAAACACCAAGCCATCTTAGCCGACCATGCAAGGGCAAAATATCACCCACCCTTGCTGGTAACTGTATACATTAACACAGTCAGGCTGTTGTGAATCTCATTTGCGTTACGATAATACGATGGCGGTCGAAGCCCCCTCGAGGCGGGCACAGAAAGATCGGACAGTGATCTCGGGGTTCCATTCCGCTGACCTGCAGGCGTGCACTTCCCGAACCTGTTTGGACTTGTCGATCATCACCAAATTTTGGACGGTTTTCTGGGGGGCACAACGGGGCTATCGAGAATGTGCCCCTACCATGCGGTATCCGTACCAGGTAACACCATCCTCACTGTCGAAAATACGGTCTGAAGTGGATTCTCAGTATTTCATGCAAATGGATAGACCTTGCTCTGGCCCCTCATTTGTTGTAATTCGGAGTCCAGACTTCTTGCCTCTCAGGTCTCACTCGATGGCACGTCTCAAAGGCGAGACTCTCTACAGTGTGCTGGTGGGGAAGCAGCTCCAGATCGACAAGCCAGATGAGGGACATCTGCTTTTGCAAACCAAGGCTTTAGCAGCCGCCGTCCGAGAGACTTTGACAAGAACGCCGTCTAAAGCGGCTCTCAAAAGGGAACCAATAGAAGCATTTGACAAGCCGGCGTACCTAGACATCTCACATCCGAAATAAGGTAATTTCGCACATTCACTAGATGCATTGCAGGCAGCCGGTCGGAAACTACCAGAGAAACTATTCCCGCCTGGTACAGGGAGGCCACATGGCAGACGAGCTGCCTCTTCCTCGAAGCAAAGCGGGATCCATCCAAGCCATTGGCAGAGGCTGGGGGGCTCATAGTACGTAGTCATCGCACGCCTGAAGAGGCAAATCTGTGGAGTTGCAAAAAGTCGTTCCACGGGGGATCACGAGAGGGCTCTTTTTAATTGAAGAGGACCCAAAATTGTGGAGGCTCTCTTCGTTTCCGAGGCCCGGTCCCATCCACTCACACCGTCTTCGTCGTCAAGGTCGTCTTGCCCATTTGCCTCTGCCGCCCACTGACCCAGTGCAACTCCATGAGTGGACGAATAGCAGTGCGTACAGTTGGTGAACGCGCACTAAAAAGTTGGCAGATGGAGCGTTCCCTGCGCGTCGTCCTCTTGCATGTCATGCAGGTACGAAGATGGTGCTCTGCAAGGTCGTTGTAGTAATGAGCGGCACCCTCTTACGATCATCTGCTGTTCCCCTGAAGACTCCCCCTAGTGAAGGTTACCTTTCGCGGAAAATCGTCATTATTCCATCTGGACTTTGGTCGGCTAGTTCGGACGGCGTGTGCTTTGACCTTGGATACTGACGATTGGGTTTCTCCTGTTATGGAGTATTACACAGTAGATGCTGAAGCATCCGGAAAGGAGAAAAACGAGGAGGAAAAAAGAGAACGTGGTGTTCTAGAAGGGCCCACCGAAGCTTTCCGCCCCTGAGCCTGCCTCTTGTGTAACCACCATCTGGCACATCATACAGACGAGCTGGCACCCAATCCATGACTCCAGCGCTCCTTCGTTGGCCACCGTGGATATCGTCCTCCACTCCGGCTGTTCGAGTTTTGTTTCGGACTGGACTAGATCCTCATGGATCCGGAAAGCTGTGAAACGAAGCCTCTCCGCTGTGTGCTCTAGACGAATACTGTTATGCGGATGATTTGAATTAGGACAATTGGGAGACATCCAGAAACCGCGGAACATACGGTAAAGCGCCACCAACCAGAGTACGGGTTCAAGCGATGCCTGTGGCGTTCGCAGCCGCCTGAAGAGCTAGAACGATGTCCAAGCATAGCTTCTGCCCCTGTAGATCACACAAGTCACTTGAGGAGAGCTTGTGCGTCCCCAGAGTCCTGGACACAGAAGACACAGCCACACAGCATAGGAATGGAACCTAGACTGATAGACCAAGATGGGGCGAATGGGTTCGCCCATCATGGAACCGGTCGTATGGCAGAACCGTACTGCACCGGGCAGCCAGAGACGGAAGCCGGACCGGCCAGCACAAGCGTCATCGGCCGGAGCAGAGCCCCGCAATTACGTTGCCGGCACCGAAAAACAAGCTTGCTTAGCGCCGTCATACCAACCTCTCTGCCCGCATCTTGGACGCGAACTTGAAGCTTGTTTTGCTCGCGGCCGCATTATTCCTTTTCATTCCTCTGCCAATTCCACCACGGACAGCGTCTTGCAGTCAATTGAGCGCGCAAACGGGCAAACATGTCTATCCCTATGAACCGCCTGGGCGGCCGCGGTAAGCAACTTCGCCATGTTTCGTTTTCGAATCCTCCTGGAGCCATGGCTTGAAATCCGAGACCGCCACAAACAGGCCCGCATCAATACAATGCTGCTGCTCGACATCTGGGGCCCGGACGCGCGCTGACACGAGCATAAATTTTGCAGCCTTCAGCCACGCCGACAACGACGACGACGATACGGAGCGCGAGTACGATCGCCTCCGTGACCTCGCCCGCGAGGAAGCCAACAAACGCAATCAGGCCTTTGAGCGCGTAAGTGGCCCCAGCCTAAGCCTAAGCCCAAGCCGAAGCCTTGTCCAAAACACGTGGTTTTGAGTTTTGTGTGATGCCGCAAGACTAACACCAACCCTCGATGCTCTCCAGTCTCAACAAGCATACCAGTCGGGCGATGGCGCGGCCGCCAAGGAGCTCTCCAACGAGGGCAAGCGCCACGCGCAAAAGATGGAGGACTACAACCGCCAGGCGTCCGAGTTTATCTTCCGGGAGAACAACGCCGCCGGCCGTGTGACGGGCAGCTGCGTCGACCTGCACGGGCAGTACGTCGAGGAGGCGGAGCGCATCCTCGAGGAGCGCATCCGCGCCGACCGGGCGCGGGGCCAGGAACACTTGCACGCCATCGTCGGCAAGGGAAACCACTCGACGGGCCACGTGCAGAAGTTGAAGCCGAGGATCGAGGCCATTTGCCGCGAGATGGGACTCAAGTACTCGACCGAGGAGAACGCCGGCCGGATCTACATCAACCTCCAGGGCGGGGATGCAACGATGCCGCCGCCGCCTCACACTGGTGGTGGACAGCAACACCACGGAGGCGGCCAGCAACAGCACCATGGCGGCCAGAACCAGCAGCACGGCGGGCAGACCCAGCAGCACGGCGGGCAGACCCACGGTGGGCAACAGCAGCACCACGGCGGCCAGAATCAGCAGCAAAACCAGGACGAGACTGGCGACTTGGTCGTCAAGATTCTCAAGAAGCTGGAGAAGGCTTGCTGTATCGTCATGTAAGGGGGTTTTGGTCTCTGTTGTGGCCTTCTCCGCTTGCTCCCCCCTTTATGGCTTTCGGC